CTCTCCAGGCCCTGAAGCTGATGACCCTTCTTCCAGAACCAGTTCTAGCTCCAATGCTCAGGTAGCTGTCTGGCATCAGCTCTGGAGACACACCATCACTGCTGGATCCATTTGGCCCCTGGTTGTCATCTGGAACTCAGTGCTGCTTCCCACACACACACTCATGATCTGCCCCCATCAGCATGTGATCTCGTGGCAGGAAGCCCCTGGCCCTTGCACTACACTCTGGTATCTGCTGTGTACTGACAGATGATGGGCATCGCTGCCCTGGGCATACTCTCCTCCTCTACAGTAAGGGCCGTGGCACCACTAAAGGAGTGTCCTGAACTGAGTTCCCTACCCCAACCCTTCTGCATAGTGGAGCAGCCCCTGGACCCTGACTCCACAGGCCCCTTCCCCTCAACTACCCACCAATTTTCCCAGCCACTGAATAATGCTATGGGGTTCTGAATAATAATATGGGGTTCTCCAGAGCCCTGAGGTCTCCCAGGGTACCTCAATAGTGTCAGGCCATTTGTAGGTTGACAAGAACAAGAAGAGGTGTGCTAGTTGTGATGAGAATGTCAGTGCTGTTTCCAGTCATTGATCTGATTTGCAGATGACCTTGCCAGCACCTACCTATGCCAGCAAAAGTATACAGATGTGCCATTCAGCCAGACGTACACAGCCCCAGCAGAGCCCTTCTCCCCATGGCCCATTGTCATGAGTGGCAGGCTGGCCATTACCTCTGTGCACCTAAGAGGTGGGACAGGGCGTGCTTGTCCACGTAGTGGGCATCCACGCAGATGTCATCCTGCACCCAGAGCTCTGTTTGCTCACATGACAGCCCAGTGGAGAAAATAAGAGCATTGTCATCGTCCGTTCACAGCAAGGACACTGAACCTCAGAAAAGTTAAGGCTTCTGCTCATGCTAGGAGCCCAGACTGGAGACAAGGTCTGGGTGGCTCCCTGGTCTGTCCTACAGCCCCAGGAGGCTGCAGAGAAGCTCACCCAGCCTGTACATGGAGGAAGTACAGTCTTGTTCTCTGGCATCCCTTCGCCCTGTAGATCGGGACAGAATTGGGCAGAGAGGCATGCCCTCACTCCCTGCGCACATGCCCACAAATTTCTTTCTGCTCCGTGTGCTAAGAACCCATGACACATTGGCGCCATGGCAGCCCTACGGGAGAGAAGACGTCACACAGGACGAGTATATACTATAGACACGGCCCTCCAGAGGCCCAGGCAGTGAGGAGGAAGGGCTTGTCACACTCCGTGGGTCTTCTCTCTCCCTGCTAATAGTTCTTCTAATCTTCTAGGATTGATTGGGGTAGTAGAATTAAATGTTAGTCTAGTTACTAAACACACATGAATTCTTTGTCTATCCCAAACTGCTCATAGGCCAACTAGGTCAACTGGCCAGATCCAGAGCCTGTGTCTTCCAGAGGAAAGGGGCAGAGCCATCCCCTTCCAGGCCACTCACTGTTTCAGGGAGAAGAGCTTGGATTTTCCTCCTTCAGGGAGGCTGGGGTTCTGCTGCACATGAAAGGTAGAATCCTCAAGAGGCAAAGAAGGCAGAACTTCACAGAAAGGGAGGGGGGCCTCGCTACCACCAGGGCCTCCGTGATACCCCCTGAAACCCTGTGGAGGTGTGAGCCCTCTGTGGACTTTCTAGAAATGGCAGCTCCAGCAGTCTCCGTGAGTAAGCCTGACACAGAGGTCCAGCTTGGTGTCTACTGCTGGGGCTGCTGTAACAAGCCGCCACACCCTGGGCAACTTCAGAACACAAATGTATTCTTCAGGTTCTGGAGATTAAGTACTGCATATTGCCTGGACAGCAGGTATGAGGGCATGCCTGAGGCCATCCTTTGACCAGCAGGCAGTATAGTACCATGGGCTGTAGCAAAAAGGCTACTACCTTGGGCCCAGTGCCTCTAGCCCAGAGCCCTGGGGAATGTCTGGCACAATGGGAGTCCCATTCCCCCAAGCCCCTGAAGGCAGACAGAAAGGCAAAGAGACAGAGGCCTCCCCAGCTCTACTAATTGCTTGTTACTTTGTTACCCACGGGCCTCTAGACATGTTGGCAAAGCCCCTTCTCCCCTTCATGCTTCGCCCTGCCTCTTTACTTGCTTTCCTTCCCTGAGCTCTAGGGTCTGAGCCTATGACTGGGCCTTGTCAAGATGCAAAGTCCTTGTGTCTCCTCAATGTCTGCTATTCAGTCTTTTGATGGAGCCTTGATTGCTTTGCAGCTTTCCTTGTGGCTTGGTTGGATTCAGACACCGTCTTGATATGGGAGTATGACCACAAACAAGATCATACTAAACCTATGTTTATGGCAGCATTATTTACCAGCTTGTTTGGGTAAAAGCCACCCAGGCAGGAAAACCCTGAAATGCTTATCTTCTATCTCCAGTTAACCACCAGAAAACCAGAAGTGGAGCTATGGCTCAAAGTGGTAGAGTGCTAGCCTTGTGCAAAAGAGCTCAGGGACAGCACCCTGAGTTTAAGCCACATGACAGAAACAAAGAAAGAAAGAAAGGAAGGAAGGAAGAAAGGAAGGAAGAAAGAAAGAAAGAAAGAAAGGAAGGAAGAAAGGAAGGAAGGGAGTTAGTTCAGATTGTTGTTGTTCAGATTGGAAAAACCAACACTAATGTACAAAGTGGCTTTGGGGAAGGCCCACGGGGTATGTATACCTCACATCTGGAGGGTCACTCGTGTCCTCCATGTAGGTGTGGCATGACTGTGGGCGATCAGATTGGAGCATGCTCCTCTTCCCTGTGGCAAGTCTTGCCTTATCTGCCCCACTCACCACAGCTCTGACTGTTTTGAGTGTTCACTGCACAAAACTGGCAGAAACCATAAAGAGGAAATTCAGGAACTCTGGTCAGGGCCCTTCCACACCTGGGAAGGCACCAACCCTTCTTGGGGGCAGCCAGACCCTGGGGAGCACACAAGCTCTTGACTCATATATGGCCTTACCCTTTTTAGCCACAAGTAGAGGAACAACCCTCCTCCCCTACCCCTCCTCCCTGAGTCATCACTCTCAGCCTGGGGCATCCAAGCCCAGGCCCCAGTGCCAGCTTTCCATGTCACTGCCACCAGGGGGAGCTGCCCACATTACCCAGACCCTGGAGACCAGTCTTCCATGTGGGGTGGAGGTGGGGAAGGGGGGGGTGGGTTATCCTCCCTTGTCCAGTGAGGGTGTATCAGGAACCAAGAGCAAGATGTCAGGGGCCTTGCCCCCATGAAGCTGGATCTGGATTAGCATAGCAGGCATGGCCTGCCAGCCTCCATGCTAGTGGTCACTTCCTTCCTGAGGCAGGCAGTGGGCAGGCCAGGGCTGTCAGCTTTTCCACCAACTTTATGTAGAAAACAGGCTCTGGCAGGTAAATAGCTACTTAGGCAGACAGCTCCATGCTGGAAAAGTCCCCAAGAAAGCTTCAGCTCCACACACCTTTTGTGTAGCATCTTTTGTCTCTCCCCGCTGAAGGACACCTGCGGACTCTCAGCCCCTCCCATGCATTTCCTGAGCCCCTTCAGGCTGGCCAACTGTCTGTCCACTGGTGGCTGAGAATTGAGGTTGAACAAGCTTCCAGCAGAATCATCATATCGTATTCATAATAACACATGAACAAAATACCCTGACCCTGGAGGACTCAGGAAGGGAGGGAGATATGGACCCTGCTGCACCCAACTCGCAGTCCAGCAAGAGTGTGCAGGCTAAAATGGGAAAAGGCAACCGAGGAGGGTCCCGGCTCAGAGGGCCCTCTCCATCTACTCCCTAGCGCCAAATGCCTTCCCCAGTGTGGGATTTTCCAGATGACACAAATTTAAGAGAATATGTCCTGTCCCTAGAGTGACTGATACCAATCACTGAGACTTGTGTCCCCCAACCCTTGGAGAGCCTCTAGAACACAGCTATCAAAAAGAAGCAGGAAACGGATGAGGTGTTCAAGTCCCCAGCTTCTGCCACTTGCACACACAAAGACCAGAACACCAGTGACTATGGTCTGACTAGCCCCTAAACTCATTTGGTGCAGCTGTGGATCATGGTGGTCTCAGCTCTGCATCATGTGGGATTCCAGTCTTTAGAAAATCAGTGACCCCTGTCTGGTGTCCTAGATGAGGGACAAGAGAAAGACCTCTGAGTTACACACCACTTTTCATGTGATTCCAATGAAGTCTCATCCTACACACTTGTGCCTTAAGCAAATTCAACTCCGCCCCCTCAGAACAAGGAGGGGAAGAGGCAGAAAGGAAAGAACACACCAGTGTCATGATGTGTCCCTTTGCCCTTTCCTGTTTAACCAGGCCTTGGCTTTTCCTGGTAACAACAGATCACAGACATCTAAATGTAAATTCATAAAATTAAGATTTAAACCTGGGATAGTGGTGCATCAGAATCCCAGTGCCCAGGAGGTTAGAGAAAATCTTGTGTTTGAGATCAGCCTGAGCCACAAAAGTAATAAGACCTTGCCTCCAAAAAAGAAAAAAAAATTGTTGAGATCCAATATGGACATGAGGAATTTTCACCATCAATGTTGTTATCACCAGTTCCCTCTCTTCCTCCAAGGTACTCCACAGAGACTCAGTCCTCAGTCACCCAGAACCCTCAAATCATCCGAATGACCTCTCCTAGATGCAGACCATCTCCAGGAGCTATGCTCCACCTTGACGAAGAAATGCCGGAAGAACGCTGATTTTTAAGTGTTTTTCTTAAGCAAATATTGTGCGAATTTGTTTTTTAAACCCAGTAGAAGCAGAACTATTATGGTTGAGGGAGGAGCAAAGCCTTGGCCACTCCCCTTCTCCAGCACACATGCGATTTGCTGCTTGAGAACATGCACAGGATGGAAAAGCCCCAGAGGTGCCAAGTGTCCCTGGGCCCCCAGTGCTCAGAGCTGCCCTTCTGCAGAGCAATCTGCAGCTGTGTTATCCTGCTGTTGGCCCACTGCCCTGGTGGGGTTCATGGCATAAGTCCCACGGGGGCCTCAGAGTGACATGTTCCTCTCTTCTCATAGGCCGACTCCAAGATGGTTTGTGACGTGGTGAGTCGCATGGAAGACACTGAGCCCTTCTCCACAGAGCTGCTTTCTGCCATGATGAGACTCTGGGGTGACTCAGGGATCCAGGAGTGCTTCAACCGGTCTCGGGAGTATCAGCTCAACGATTCTGCCAAATAGTGAGTGTCTTAGGCCTGTGGGAAGACTGGAGTGAGCATGGTGGAGCCAAGAGGACTCTGGGTCACAGGGAGACTTGCCACCCACTGGTGGTGAGCATCAGGAAGGGCCCACCTCTCCCTGCCCCCAGGATGAGGAGGAAGCCAGGGAAGGGAGAGGGCACAAAAGTGACCAAACAGGAAATTCCAGAAGGATGAGGACCTGGCCTCAGGCCTGAAGAGGAGATTTTTTTTTTTCTTCCAGGGTGCCCTGGCACCAGAAATACCAATCCAGAGACAAACAGGCAGAACACAACTCAAATGGTGCCATTTTGTTTTGCTGTAGAGAAAATAATACATACTCCGGGCTGGGGATGTAGCTAAGCTATGAAGTGCTTGTTTAGCATGTTCGAGGCCCTGGCTTTCATCTCTAGCACTGCCAGAACTAGCAAAAAATAATCCGCTTTAAAATTAAAAATAGATAATAAGTAGCTCCATTCAATAAATTAAGTAACTGAACAAATGAACATATCCTTTAGTATTATGGTATAATTAAATAAAGAAGGGAGGGAAAAGGGAAGGACAGGAAGAAGGATAGAGGAGAGAAGAAGATGTGGAGGAGTGGAAGTGCAGATAGGATCACAGACAATCCCCAGCTTTTCATAGGACAGGAGGGCCACGGGCCTGACCGCTGACCTTTGTCACTTTTAGGACATCCTCACTGGATCCTCCACCTCTAGATCCATCCAGAGGCTCTAGAACCTGGGGTGGTTGTGTCTCCTGTGATGGAGATTCATGGATTGTAGCTGGGGGTTCAGGAAATGCACCTTACTTTTACAAGCTGGTGCCTGGGCATTCAGTGGGAGCCTACAGCCAGGAGTTTTAGGTTTTAACCCATTGCCTACAGACACATAGATACACTCTGACCTCTGATTGACCATAGTCACCAGTGCTTCTCAGCTGGAGGCAGTTAGCTCCTAGGGAACTTTTTGTCAGTGTCTCCATGGAGTTTTTGATTGTCACACCAGGGTGGCTCCAGGCATCTAGTGAGTAGTGGCTAGAGACACCACACAAAGTCCAACAGAAATAATAACCACTCTGTACATCACCTTAATAATAACAGTTTTTAAAAAAAATATCCCCCAATGAATACTGTACAGCCCCCACAACAGTTACCTACCCCAAAACATAGTAGTACCTAGATGAAAAAGGCCATCTTAGCAGGCTGGGCCCACAGGAATGGCTTTCACTTATGACATGTGAGTATTTCCATTGGCTATGCTGGCAGCTAACAAACCATGACCCTGAGTAATGCCAAGAACATCTTCCTGCTTCCCACACCTGAATTATCCACAGAGCAGATGCCTAAATCCTTTGTAGGGGAGCCCAGACATTGATGAGACCCAAGGGCACCATGGAAGGCAGGGATGCCAGCGCCTGGCTACACTGAAATCACAGGCCCAGAACCGGACAACCCAGAGCCCCTGGCTGGCCAGGAGAGAGTGCCTTTCAGCTGGCTCCATCTGGTGGCCTCCTTCCTCCTCTACCTCCCATTCCCCTGCTAAGACTGCCCTACCATCTTCTGGAGCTTTCTTCACCATTTAAATTTTTACCCTGTCCATTAATTATAAAATGAACCCATTGGGAAAAAAGTAGTTTTCAACAATAGGCAGTGGTATAACATGCATAGTAATAATCTCCACTCAACCTGTCACCCTCCCCTTTAGCTATTTCCACTTAGTTGTCCAATCTACCTAGTGTTTCTTGACTACCCCCACCATGCTATCTGGGGAGTTCAGCTCACCTTCCTTCTTTTCTTCTACCCCTCTCTATCTCCACCTCCAGTTTTTTGCTAGTTACAGGATTATTTTTAGTTCTTCCAGTAGTTACTGTTATACCTTTAAATAAGAAACTGAGTCACTATTTGTCAACTCCCTACCAACCTGTGCCACTTTTCTGGGAGAGCATCTGTACAGGAGAGGACGCAGAGAGATCATCAGTGTCAGAAGGACCTTAAACACTTCTTTTGTTTTTGTTTGTGTGTTCCTGGGGCTTAAACTCCAGGCTTAGGTGTTACCCCTGAGCTTTTGTGCTCAAGGCTAGTGCTCTTCCACTTTAGCCACAGCTCTACTTCCAGCTTTTTTGTGCTTAATTGGAGAGTCTCACAGACTTTCCTTCCTAGGCTAGATTTGAAACGTGATCGTCAGATCTCAGCCTCCTGAGTAGCTAGGATTACAGGTATAAGCCACCAGCACCCAGCACCTTAAACACTTTTTGAGACAGGGTCTTCTGATGAAGCTCAGGCTATCCTTGAACTTGGGACCCTCCTATATCAGCCTCCCACGTGCTTGCTATTGCAGGCATGTACCACCACACCCAGCCCTCTGAAACACTTTATGATCCAGGGCTGGGCTGCTTTAGGAGTTAAATTGCCTCACAGGACTGTCATATTGCTACTTGCAGGGGACATCATTAACATCCCAAAGCCTCTGTCACCATATTCTCTGCCTTTGAAGATCCAGAGCTCCAAGAAGAAAGAGCCTCCAAGAGGCTCCTGAGCTAGCTCTCACTCTCAGTAGGCATTAGGTCTCGGTGAACATGACTGACTCTTTGCTCTGGATAAGTGTTCCTGAGACAGGTCTCAGCAATAAGAAGACTCTGCACAGATCTAGCCAGGTTCCACGTGGCTTGGTGAGCTTTGGTTATCCCAAATTCAGCTCGCCACTTGCTGTGCAAAATGCCTCCCTCGCCTTCACTATACCTCTCTGGGCTCCTACTCTACCCACCAAGCTGTTCACCATGGCCAAGCCACTGCAGCTGCCCCAAATCCCAAAACGGCCCCCAGGCCTCCTCTCTCAGCATTTTGCTCTTGACTCTGCCCTCAGCTTTCTCCTGACCACCCCTGGGTCCAGCCTACCTCTCCTGGAGACCCAGGCTCTGACCTCGAACCTCTTCCTGCCCAAATTTGATGCTGTGCAGGACCATCTTCTCAGTTCCTTGCTGGTTTTAGGTTCCTTACGCAGCAGTTGCTCCCCAATGGATATGACCAGGGTACCCTCCCTGCCAGCTTCTGCCTGCTCAGTGTCTGGGCATCTAAACACTCCTCCAACCAAAATGTGAGTGCCATGCAGGTCAAACCTGTGGTTCCTACCCTCCTGTGAGAGGGCTCGACCTCACTCTTCCCTCCTCCCACTGTGCCCTGGCCTCTCTTCCTCACATGTCCACATCCCACACTGGAGCCTCCAGCAGAAGTGGCTCCTTGCCAGCCATCCTGCACCCTCCTGCGCTGCACCTGCATGATGGTGACAGCCTCCCACTCCTGACAGCAGCACAGCCATCACCCTAAAACCACCCCATAACCGTTCTGAGATTCCCATCTCACCTTGAACAAAAGCCCAGTCCTTACAAAGACTCAGCCTTAAGGGCCTGTGTTCTGCCTGAGATTGCCACCCACCAGTCTTGCCCTAGCCTCGCTAGCTACCAGCTCCTACCACAAGGGCTCCTGGCCTCGCCACTGCTGGCCACACAGCTATCCTGGCTCCCACATGGGCTATAAAACCACACACTTGGTACAGGGAAATTAAGGATGGAATAGAATCTACCTATCAACAATTATCTATCTATCTGTCTATTTATGGCAGCACTGGGGTTTGAACTCAGGGCTTTGTGTTTGCTAGGAAGGCACCCTATCACTGAATCATGCCTCCAGTGACTATTATTTTTTAATGGGAATATGGTATTCTAAGCAGAGTAGTCCTTTACAAGCCTGAGCATACCTGCAGCTGCATGCACAGCCCCTGTGATCTGAATTCAAGGTTCTGGGAGACTTTGAGACCAGGAACATAGAGTCCTTCTTCCTCGGTTTCCCCCACACCTAATGACTGGCCCCACAATCACCTTTGAGGGGCACAATGAGCCTGGAGCGGTGCCGGGTGCATGGTCCATGGTGCCTTGTATGTTGCTGTCCCCAGCTACCTGGACAGCCTGGATCGGATTGGGGCTGCCGACTACCAGCCCACCGAGCAGGACATCCTCCGAACCAGGGTCAAAACCACCGGCATCGTAGAAACGCACTTCACATTCAAGAACCTCCACTTCAGGTGAGGCCCAGGGAGACCAGTAAATTGCACTTATTCTCTGCCAAGTTCAAGGGGGGAAGCATGAGGTATCCTGGAGGTAGTGATCCCTCAAAGGCCACCAGGTAGGAGCAAGGTAGGTAAGGCAAGTGAGACCTGTAAAACACACACACACACACACACACACACACACGCGCGCGCGCGCACACACACACACACAGCCCACATAGGGAAACAGACCTTAGAGGAATGAATTTTCCTGAGGCATAGAACATAGCCAGGATCCAGGAACTCTGGGACCTGGACAGAGGCCTAAGCTATAAGGCCAGGTCTTCTGGAGGATGGTGTCCTTCCCCTGGGGTAAGCCCTATACACTGAGGCCTGGCAGCCCTCAATACCTGGACTTCCAGCTAACAAAGCTGGAAAACACCAGGAGGGTATGGGCAGGCAAGGACCTCAGGCCAGTAGACAAGACTAAGGACCTGTCCCCCACCTGCTCCTCTGTCTAGACCAAGGGGCTGAGACCCTCTATCTAGGTTCCTGGGCCCAGCAGGCAACCTCCATGCAGCATTGTGGGAGCCATATTGTGCTTCCCCAGCCTGCCTGTACAAGAGGAAACGAGGAGTCTCCGGGTGCCTCCTTGGCTCTCTGGTTTCCTCCATCTCTCCTGCCCACCCACTGGGTGTAGATGAGGACCTCATACCGTAGTCACACGCACAGAGACCGCCTGTACTTCAGATGGCAGGTGGATCTGTAGGAGGCTGTGGTTGGACGAGGCCCAGCCCTGTTTCCTTTCGCCATGCCTAATCTCTTCTCTACCTGTGATCATTGTCTTCCGTGTAGAGGGTCAGGAGTCCTGTCCACCCAGAGCCCCCGCCCACTCTGCAACTATGTGCTAATAAGCCTCCCATGGCCAGGAGACCGCAGAGCTCTTCACTCCCAGGATTAGGGGCAAGCTTGACCTCATTCCTCCCGGGCCTGTGTCCTGCCTGCTTATCATCTCCTCCCGGTCCTCCAGTCCCTGGGGTTGCAGTCGGAGGAGAGACCCAGCACTGATCTACTGGGCAAGGCTAGTATGAAGCAGAGAAGGGAGTCCAGCTCTGTCTGAAGGCAGGCCTGGGTCAGACCCCAACTCTACCATATCTGGACTTGTGCCAGAAGCCCGGGTACATCTTCACAACCTTGGTGCCTCACATTTCCAATCCGCATAACAAGTTCCTGCCTGTATCCCTTCCAGTCTGGTTTGGAGTTTTCCCACAATACATGCTCAAATAGGTGAAAGAACATAAATATTACTTCAAGAGGAGGACCTTGCAGAGGCATTACTTGGGGGGGCGGTGACTGGGATGCAATGGTGAGTCTTCAAGTCACTCCATGTGGCTGAGTCAGGCTCCTCAGTTCCAGGGACAGCAATGGTCCAGCAGGCAGCCCCTCAGCACCTGGGGCTGGGGAACCCCTGGGAACAGGATCATGGCTATGGGCTCGCACCTGGTATGCCCTATCCTTCAAAGCACACTTCCACCTTGACTCTAAAGCATACTTCTGCCTGCCTGGACCCTCACCCCCATCAGCCTCTCTGTCTCCCCTGCAGGCTGTTCGACGTGGGGGGCCAGCGATCTGAACGCAAGAAGTGGATCCACTGCTTTGAGGACGTCACGGCCATCATCTTCTGTGTCGCGCTCAGCGGCTATGACCAGGTGCTCCATGAAGATGAAACCACGGTAAGTGGCACTGGACCCACAGGCCAGGGGACAACACAACGAACTGGCTACCCAGCCTAAGGTGACACTGAAAGCTGGCCACAGAACAGGCTGGCCCTGGGAGTGCTTGGGCCTTGGTTGCTCCCAGTGGTCTGGGATCCAGCCAGCGACAGTGGCTGATTTGTGTGGAGGGCAGTCATCCATGCTGCCAGGGCAAAGCCCCTGTGAGGACGGTGCAGCAGAGGGAATGCAGGCCTCTTGGCACAGAGCCCATAGGCAAACTGCAAACAAAACAGCTTGGCAGAACTGAGATCTCAGGTTAGTATGTGCCTCTTGACAGTGGAGTCGCCTGAGTTGTCAGGCCCCAAGCAAATCCTCAAAATATCAAGCAAGAGTATGTATATTTTATCCGTTTTCACCTGCCTAGGGCACCTGCAGGGGGTGCTGTGAAGAGACCTGTGGGTCCAGCAAGCTGGGAAGGACAGCGGGGATGAGGTGCTGGTAAATGACAGGTGTGGCTTTGGGCTCCATCTCTGCAGGATGCCGGGCCAGGCTCCTACCTCCCTCCTTGGGTTGCACTCAGCCTGGAATCTCTAGCTGGCCTCTAAGAACTGCTGGCTCTTGGGAGGGGGATGTTTACCTTCAGAGGGTGCCACCTTCTCCTGGGCCTGGTCTTGGCCCCACTGCTGGTTGTTTTGCTGAAGAATTCTGGCAACACTCTTTCCACCTCAGTTACTGTCACTTGTAAAAGCAGGGAACATAATAGTGCCTGCCTTATCTAGGACCGCTGGCAATGGAAGGAGATAATCTATCTGCATGTGGTACTTGGAACAGTTTCTGGCCCAGCAGTGCCCGCCTGGAGGTTGTGTTGTCCCTGGTGATCACTCCGAGCCAGGTGATCCCTGGAGCTGTTCCCATCAGACTGCAGCCCACAGGCCAGAGATGAGCTTCCACTGGAGTGGGCTTCTGGCTGCGAACTCACACCCTGGCACCTGACCCCACCTATCTAGATCACATTCAGGCCTTGTCCTCTTGAGCCTTTCGGGTTGGTACTGAGGGTCTTAAGAGGGGGTTGCTGTCGGGGTCATGCAGGCCCCAAGCAAGGCCAGATCTTCCCTCTGGGTCCTATTTCCTCATCAGCCCTTGTCCCCCAAGTCCTACAGAGTTGCTGTGGAAATGGGATCAGGTTTGGGAGTTGGCTGCCATGAGCAGAGCTGTGTGGGGAGGAGCCGCCGTCCCAAGGGGCCTAGGCAGAGTGATGGGGCTTTTGGCGACTGAGTGAGTGATCTGGACCCGTGTCATATTCTGCTTGCCCTGGGCTGGGTTTCAGCTGTTGTCATTCTCAGTGGCCTCTGTGGGGTGGTAATATTAAAGCAACACAGCTTAGTCCTGACCTAGAATGTAGGACAGGGACAGACCAGGCCTGAGCCAGCCTTAGATTCTGTGACCAGCCAAAGCCTAGGACAGCCTCCAGGCAGTGTACCTTCAGAGCAACTGCCCATGGCACATGGGCACATGAGCTGCCCCTGTGCTACTGGAGAGGAGAGCCAGTGTTCACTGTCTTCTTGGCCACCTCCATGGTCTTAGCTTGGCTTGACTCATCCCTTCTCCTGGCCACACTGGGTGTGGATGCGATATCAGGCCATCCTGGGTTTCAAAAGAGCTGGAGGCTAGAGGGCAGAGGGCCTTTCCTATTAACGTATGGTCGCTCCCTTAGACACATCCTTGCTGGGCCTGCAGCTAGTTCAGATCTAAGACTCGGCCCATCTACCATGGGCTGTGCTTTCTCTAGCCTCTGGAGCACTGCATCGATGCAGAGAGGTATCAGATGGGTCTGGCAGACACAACGAGTTCCATGGCATCAGGTCTCCTGGGAAGGCACTGGAGGATGGAACTAGGCCAGCCTCCCCATGAGGTCCTCAGGGGCCCAGCTGCAGTGCAGGACTCAGCTCCTGGAGCATTTCCCTCCAGTGTCCTCTTCCTCCTCCCCTTATTGCTCCTCTCACACTGTCCCTTCCCTTCCTGCTCCTTCCTCACTTTCTCTACTTTCTCCACAAAGATGATTGCAGAGGACCTTGGGTATGGTAAGCCATGTGAGCCAAGATCAGGAACAGGTTAAACAGACTCTGCCTGAGGTCCTTCCATCCCCAAGGCTGGCCATCTCTACCACCCAGGGCGGAGGAGGAGCCCTCCAGGGAACAGGGATTGCCTTTGCAGTCTGACAGCAGCAGTAAATCAGCACTATTGCTGTAGAACCAAGCGTGCGTCGCTGTGTTTGACTCACACGTGTGCAGAGTTGGGCAGTTCGGGAGCAGATGGATATCGTCCAGGTTTGGCGCCGCTCCTGCAAGCTATGTGATCATGGGCAATCACCTGTACTTCTCGGGCATCTGCTTGCATGGTAATGATGGTAGATACCGGCCTTATGAGCAGCTGTGAGGACCACTGGGCGGGATGTGGAAGTCGCCACTGGGTGAAGCCACTCTGGCTAGAGGTTGTAGCGTGTGGATGCTCTGGAAGCAAGATGTAAAGCACCAGTCCACCAAGTCCTTGGGCCTAAGCTTTCTCTCTGGTCAGCCCTGTGCTTCCCTCTCTGGCCTAGGATGAGAGTTGGGGCTGCCTGAGACAAAGGTGTCTGGGGGAAGTTCCTGGAGCTAGGCCCCTGGGGCTAGTGGCTACCTCCTACCAGACTGGCCACCCTGCCCACCGCTCCCAGGGACCCTGAGGGCTCATCCTGTCCTCGTACCTGCTCTCAGCACCACCCAGCCGGGCCACAGGCTGCCACAACTTCACCACCACTACCACCACCGCCTGCAGGGCCTTATCTTGCCAAACCAAGGCCAAAACCATGAGCAGATTCTGAGACACCCTCCAAGCCCAGCAGGTATGAAGCTCCTTCCTCCAATCAAAACCATCACTAAGAGTTGAAAGCAGCAGGTTCTCAGGGCTCCACTGGGTGACTTTGCTGTGAATGCCCACCCCCTCTACCCCCTACCCCCATTGCCCGCACTCCTCACTAGCCGTGCCACTCGGCTGAGGTTTATATCCCCACTTCCCACACCAGCCTCCCCAGCCTTCTGCTCCAACCACACAGTCCCAGAACAGCCTTGGCTTCCATGAGTCTGCTTAGGGGCTGCAGAAGGCTGGTCTGGACTGCCCGGCTTCCAACACTGGTTGAACTGACTTTTCAGGGTTGGGTTTTGGGGTTTTTTTCCCACTTTTTATCTCATGTTCCCTGCTGGGTTTTTACCTTCCTCTCGCTTTAAATCTGTTTTTCTGTTTCTTCTTGGGGTCTTTTTATTCCCTCTTCTGAGAACTCAGCCCCCACCCCAGTTCTCCCAGAGCCTGTCCTGCACCAGTCATGGCCTAGCCAGCCAACCAAGTCATGCAACCAACTAAGACCACAGCAACATCACCCCCCGAGACGCTGTCCCCTGGTATCTGCTTCCAACTCTGGATTAATTCGAGGATCTCTTGGTCCTCGGTTAATGTTCCCCAACTGAATGTGCACACCCTTCCAACCTCGCTGGCGAAAGCAAATGAGCCCCTGGTAGAGACATCTGCATGACCTGCGGTTCCGTGTAGTCCTGTTCAATGGTGGTTGCGGCCCTGCCTTACATGCATGGTGCATGTCCTCTCCAGGAGTTGGAGCCTGTCCAGTGACCTCACTGCCCCACTTGGGCCAGATCCCTCTGGAAGGGGGCAGCAACCCCCACCCACCCCTGCTCTGCCCACCCTGCCTGCGTGCGAATGAAGCAGGGACACACCCTGTTTGTCCTCCCGTCTCCTTCCTGGTGGTGCATTCGGCACGTTGGTGAACCTTCCCTCTGCTTGTCCTGCTATGTGGTGCCCGCGGTGGGTCAGGGCCTGGCACTGCCGGCCCTCACCCATCTCTCTGCTCTGTTACAGAACCGTATGCATGAATCCCTGAAGCTTTTCGACAGCATCTGCAACAACAAGTGGTTCACAGACACGTCCATCATCCTGTTCCTCAACAAGAAGGACATATTTGAAGAGAAGATCAAAAAGTCCCCACTAACCATCTGCTTTCCTGAGTACACAGGTAAAGCTACCCCTTCCCACCCTGGCCTGCACAGAGATAGTGCCTTCCAGCCACAGCAATGGCCAGGAGAGCAGTACTTACCACAGAGGACCCAGCCCCACATACCCCGCTCTAGAGTGCACTGTGGTAAAGTGTTGCAGGAAACTCAGGCTGAAATCCTGGCTTGCCCTTTGTATGTGGGATCTGGAGAATCCAAGCCCCTCATCACTTCTTGGCTTGGAATCAGACAGCCAAAACACCATATTGCAGCCTGGTCATGTGACCTCACTGGGGATGTGTGGTGTCCTCCCTCCCTTCCAGAGCTGTCCTGAGGATGAATGGAGCTAATGAGCACACATAGCACATAGCACAGCAGTGCTTGGCACTCACCAACAGCTTGCTTTTACTGATAGCATCCTGATGGTGACAAAGACTCACATGGCCTCTTGGAGCTTTGCAAGCATCAGGGGCCTGCCCACCTATGGAGGGTACCAGGGACAAGAAGCCAGCTATGAGTGCTGCAAGAGACTTAGCTGATCCTGGGCAGGAAGAAGCCAGTTTGGAGCTGGGGTAAGGCAGCAGGGGGCCCCTAACTAAGGGAATCTGAGTTACCTGATATCCAGTCCAGGTTTAGCACAGAGCTGTGGTCTAAGAGACCCTGGAGCTGGGCCTGTGGCCTGAAAGCCTGAGCCTGTGTTGTCTGGGGTCCCTCACCCAGATTATACCACCCAGTTGAGTGGGGTGGCTCAGATCCTGCTTGCCTCCCCAGTGAAGGGTTGCAGTCTGGCCTAGACTTCTCTTTCCTGAGCGCACTTGAGGGTTCAGATGGATGTGGGACCCGCTGAGGAAGACAGCAAGGAGTTCTTAATCCTCATAAGAGCGAGCACCTGCAGGAGGTTCAAGAAGGGGAAAGGAGGCCAGGGCAGCTCACAGACACCAAGCAGACCACAGACCATCCACTTTGCCCAGCAATGGCCAGAAAAGTGGCATCCTGGCCGACTCTGTAGGTTCACTGAGAAAGGCATGCATGCATGAGAGGGGCACTCTGGTCCTCTGCACGGGACACATGGTAAGTTGTAGTGCTCATATCAGGACTCGATAGGCACCCCAGTAGGAGGAAAACGTAAGTGCTTACCTGTAGTACAGACCATCCCTTTCTTGATCGTTCTTTCATGATCTCTGCAATGGATTTGTCGTCTGTTGCTGATGGAGCTGAGCCACCAGGCTCCCTTCCCCACCCCACATCCTCCTGTTCCTTCATAGTTGTCCTGAGAGGCTCTTGGCATCTGCTGCAGGCCTCTGCCTGCCCCGATAGACACACCAGCCAGGCCCAGAGCTGTCTGTGCCAAGTGGCCCCATGGCTGCCTCGCCTCACCTCTCCTGTTTCCTCCTGCAGGCCCCAGTGCCTTCACAGAAGCTGTGGCTTACATCCAGGCACAGTATGAGAGCAAGAACAAGTCAGCCCACAAGGAGATCTATACTCACGTCACCTGTGCCACGGACACCAACAACATCGAGTTTGTCTTTGACGCTGTGACGGACGTCATCATCGCCAAAAACCTGCGGGGCTGTGGACTCTACTGAGCTCCAGCCCCCGACCCAGTTGCCCATACCCTGCCCAGCCCGCCACCCACTCCTGCCCTGGAACCAGAACTCTGCCACCTCTCAAACCACTCTGTGCACTGTGGAAGAAGAACCTAGAGCTGGCCCTGGGGGTGGGGGGAGCATCTTTCATGCACCCCTACCTCTCTGCCTCCAATAGCAGGCAGTGGTAACAAGCCGGGCAGGGTGCTGAACACCACACACAAGGCAGGAGACCACCCCACCCCACCCAGTGTCACGCCTCTAAGTGCTATATTTGGGGTGGGAGTGCTGGGGGGTGGGAGTGGACACAGCCGCCGTCTGGCACAGAATGGATGTGTTCTGCTCTCCTTGACTTGACTCGTACTCAAAGTCCTGGGGTCTCCTTCTGTCACTTGGGGTGCTGGCAGGGTGGAGCAGTAGAAGCCATCCCTCAGCCTTGCCTGGGGTTTCTCTAACCAAGAGCAGTTCCGTCGCCATCAGCCAGGACCAAAGCAGGCCAGCTTTGTGGGGTGAGAAGGTTCAGGCCTTGGCAAGGACCTCCCTCCTTACCGTGGTCTGCGCCTCCTTTCTCTAATCATCGCTTTTGTCCATTGGTGTCCTTAGAAATCCTAGCCTTGACTCCCGCTAGGCCTGGAAATGCTCTTGAGACTGGCTGACATCCAAGTGGATGGTTGGAGACTCAAGGCCGCACGCACAGAAGTTGGGGTGGGAGGGAGCCAAGGGTGGCAGTGGTCCCATTGCCTGTTCTGGAGCACCCCATCCCTGCAGGTCCATTCCACGTGCCACACTAACCCCAGCTCTGCTGCTCCCCGCAAGAGGGGATAGTGGGTGTGCTTTTCTTCAAGATCCTGCAAGCCCAGCTCAAGCCAGCTGGGGGCAGTAGAGGTTTGGGGACTGGGGTGCTTGTACGTGGAGGCCCAGGGGAGGTGTGGAGCAGGTCCTCCACCTGTAGCCCATTTCTCTTTGGTCTCAATCAAAAAGTCCTTGGGGTCCTCCCAGCCACCAGGGCAGAGGAGGGTCGGTAGAAGGGCCAGTGCCCTGGGTGTGAGCTGTGAGGCCTGGCTACACAGGGATGGCACTGCCAGCCCTGGGAGGGACTTTACTGAAGAGGTCTAAGCAGAAAAGGGTGGATTGGTATTTGGTGCCCCTGGACCTGGCTGGCCTTGGGCTCCCTCACACTCCCAGGTGCCTCTGATTGGCTGGTGCCACAGCAGACAGCCCGCGATGGCCTGTAGATCCTGTGGCAGGCTGTGTCTGGGAATGCAGGTGCGCTACGGGAGGGGAGAGCTGCCTCCTCAAGCCCTGTGTTCTCCTGGGTCAGTCCCAGGCGAGGCCCCTCGGCTCCCCTGTGCAGCTTCTGGCCTGCCCAGTCACAGGAAGATTCCTATGCCAACAGCTCTCCCTTGGTTCTAATAGGTGCAGAGCTCTGGTGGTGCTGGAAGACCCAGGGACCCTCCCTAGTGCCAAATTTCCACGGGGAACCTTCCCTGGTGCCTGTGGGCTTGGCCCCTGCTCTGGCTGCCTTGGCTACTGCCCAAGTCCACTTCTGGTTTATTCGCCTCCATCATTTTCTTACCATGTACCAGGTGCTGGGATGTGGCAGAGGACAGGTCTTTGGAGCCAACAGCCTGAATGTCCTGCTGTGGGCAGCTAAGGCCAGTTAACATCAAAGACGTGGCATTTATTTCCCACAGTTACCACTCTGCAGTGTGGCCACTTGTGTCCCCAACCCTGCCCCAGACTATGGCCAGATTCTAAATCACTTGGCAAGAGGTGGGTGTTGGCCATCTTATCTCTAATGCCATTGCCCAAAAGGCAGAAAATCACTGTCCCTGTCACCCCAGGGCGCCCCATCCCCATTCCTCCAATGCTCACAGGCAGCAGAGCAGCCAGAGCCCCAGGCCTTTCCCATCTGCACAGCTGGGGTGGGGACTAGGGGCTTTGCACCTTCCCATCCTCCCATCTCCCCCACGCTCTCTCCTCTGCAGGGCTCTGGCCTGTTGGATATTGTACACTGGTCTCAGCCTGCCCAGGCTGTCTGATGTGAGTCTCGAGGAAAGGGGGTTCTGGGTGTCACCAGCAGCTCTACAATAGGGGAACATCTGAATTTTGGCCCCGTCGTGACTATGGGTGAGGGGAAGTGTGGTGAGTGGCCGGACAAGGGTGGACCCCCCAAGGGGCCATGCCATCCACTCTGAATAGTTGCTAATTTAGTGGGCCAGGGAGACCTGGTTTCTAGGACATGTGGCTTCACTTCTGTCCCCAGTGCCTTCCTGCCGAGGCCTCACAGTGGTCCCCGAGGTTGTCTGGCCTGACTGGTGAACTAAGGGTTCGGAGGAAGGGCTCTGTGTGCAGTCTGCCCAGCCTGGCCTTCTCCTGCACCCATCACCTCTGCCTGCCAGTTCCCTGCCCCCAGCCCAGCCACACCCCCCACTGGTGGGAACCTGGGGCACCCTGGCCTGCATGGACTGCACTGGGCAGCACAGGGTCCCCAGCCTTGCCATCTGCGGAGAGGTCTTGCAGTGGGAAACGAACCCACCTGCTGCTGCCATCAGCCCACCTCAGGCTCTAGACATTCTCCCTCACCCCTGCCTGAGCCTGCCTGACGCCCTCTTCCTACTCCATATCACACCCAGAGCGTGACTGAAGGAGCTCAAACCCTTCCTCTCAGATCCTACCCCCCTGAAAAGCCGGGGGCACTGAGCCTCTTCCAGGGGCGTCTGCTGAGTCCTGAGCCTCCTGTGCCTCCAAGCATCTAAAGACCTGAGGTGCCATGGCCGCCAGCGATTCAGTCTGTATGTCAAAGCCGAGCACCCCCTAGACAGCTCCCCCTCCGCTAAATAAACTTCTTGCTTATTCACCTCCATCATTTTCTTACTTTGTGCCAGATGACAGGTTCTCAGGCTTCAAAGTAGGGGGCCAGCAGCCTTGGGAATGGGACAAGGGAATGGGGTCTTAGTAGGGCTGCTAGGCCCACATCCTTCAGTGGGGAGAATACTGAACCCACCTTGCCCAGACCAGTCCACCCTAGACAGATGATGTTCCCTGACCAAACAGAAAATGAGGCAGGTTGAGCCAAAAGCAGGAAGCATGGCCTCCAGTCCAAAGTCCTAAGCTCCCATCAGAGAGAGGCTCCCCAGGCCCAGTGCACAAAGACCACCAGTGTAAACCTGAGCCCTGCCCAGCGTCTCCCGGGCGCTGCTCCCGCAGCCTCCACCACCACCAGCCCCCGCCTTCCTTCACTGCCCCATCTGCCCTGCAGCTCGCGCAGTGGAGCCTCACTCCTGGCCTCTGCCCTGTCCATCCAGTCTGCGCCTCCTTTCCCCCAAGCCCAGTCCCCTGCAGCCCATGTGCTCTGTCCTATCCCAGAAGAAGACCAGACTCCCCACACCCTCCTTAGCAGAGCCTTTCCAGGGGCACTGGTCCCACCTCCTGACCCGCCGCCCCCACCCCTTATTAACTGTAATTTTGTAAGAAGAGTGACTCGTTGGTTTAATAAATTGCTAGTTATTGTAATAATTTATTGGCTGCCGTAATGTATTTATTAGTCACCTACCATTTAATAAAAAGTGCCAGCTCTTTCTAGCGTGTGATGTGTTATGTCAGTGCCAAGTGCACCCACACAACACATGTCCTACCCAGTCCCAGTCTGTGGGACGGGTCCTGGCAGGGACAGGGGCAGGGGTCAGGATTCTAGTGTCTGGCTTCCCAGCCCTCCTCAGGGCCCTGGCCTGGCTGGGCTGCTTCACAGTCCTGGCATCGTCGAGTTCTAGCATGTGTGGCACCAGTGTGGCACAGGGTGCCACAAAGCACCATGGCTGTGCTGGCCCAGCTTTCCTGCTGGACTGGGCCACGCCACAGCTTGGGCAGGTAGAGGACTCAGGAGACATGGCCCTGGAAAAGGCTCCTGGTGGCGCTACAGGAAGGCGGCTGTGGGCAGGGACAGGTATCTGCTGGCCATCTGTCTCTACTCAAATGGTGTCGTCTCCGATTTGGCTGTAATATGGTGTGAAGTGTGTAAGGACATGCTCTTGGCTTCCTGGTAATGTGCTCTGGAAGGATGGCAACCAGGCTGGGGCATGGAAGGGTCTTGGCGCCGGCGATTCTATCCCAGAAGTTCCGTCCTTACTTCCCTCACCCCACACCCTGTCCTCCCAAAGCTGAGTGTGAGTAGACATGTCTTCTGCCTCCCAAATTCCCGTCCCGTCCTGTCCCAGGACCATGTATGTGTGTTGTCACTGACTGTAAGTAAGTTCTCAGAGGGCAGGAGCCTGGCCTGGTCACTACAGCCCAGCAGAGGCCTTGTATACAAGTGCTTTTCCCTGTATGGGTGGATTATTGCTTGTGCCTTACAACTGCTTCGTAGGCAGGAAGCTATGGTGGGCTGAGCCTCGGCAGCTGAAGTCCTAGGAGCCTCTGTGAGCTGGCCTGAAGGTCTCCTCCGAATTGAGCTCAGGGCATCTTGAGGAAGAGCCCTTCAGCCCAGCCTACATGCCAGATGGTTCCCAATATCTCCCCTCTGTGATTCCCTTTTGGTCCGAAGAGTATCCAACACCCAATTGTATCCCCCATTTGCAGATCAACACACTGCCTTAGCTGAGGGCTTTCAGATCTTTCCCCTTGGCTTCTTGGAGGCTCAGAGCCTCACCACTCAGCCCGAATGTTCACAGGCCTTGCACGCAGGTCCAGTTAGCTCTTGGAGACACTGCATTTGCCTGTCCTGTGCAGGCTTCATGGAGATGGCTCAGGTGAGTGGATCCCGCTTGGAAGGGATCATGGGAATGACAGGGACACGTCTGGGAGGAAATGAGAATGGCATTTACTGAGGCTAGCAGAGCAGTGAAGAGGATGTTACCTTTTACTGTAGTCAGGGACGAAAGTATGCTTGCTCCCAAGGTGATATCCCGAGAGAACTGAGAACTTGGGCTACCCTGGGAAGAGGGGCTGGCAGATGCCTGCAATAATGGCAGGTGTGGAAGGGACCACTGAAGAAGGGGGCTCACCATAGAAGGTGTGCTGTACCCTTGAGAGACAAGACTTCTTGTGTTGCTGGGAAACTTGTTGCCTGAATCCTGCATCTGGCCTGGAGCCACGCAAGCCTCTGCTGGTACTAGTTTTGGTTTGGGATGCTAGTGCTTCTCCTTCACTTTCCTCCTCTTTTTCTCCTCCTCTTCTTTCTCTTCTTCCTCTTCCTTTCCCACCTCTTCCTCCTCTCCTTTCTCCTCTTACTTATTTGCTGGGAATGGAACTCAGAGCTCCACACATGCTTCTGAGCTACATCCCTAGACCTAGAGTTTGCTTTTAGACTCCTACCTGTGTCACTGTGTTGTCCCCTTAAGGGGTGATGGGGCTGGCCTATGGAGTGTTTGCTGGCATAGTGTGGGTCTTGGTGACCAGCAGTGCTCACTGGATCATCTTCCTCCCCCTCCTGCCATGACCACCTCCAGCCCTGTCCCCAGCTCTGGCTGCTGCTCCCCCACGAGAAAGCTCATCTCTCAGTAGATTGTGTCCACTGACACCCACACCCACCTCTTCCCTTTGGGTTACTCATGTTAGTCTTATTTAGAGGTAGATTCTAGTGTCTTTACCTGGGATCTTGGGCTTTAAGCATCTGGAGTCACATTTGAGGCTCCAGGGCTAGGTCAGGGGTCCTAGGAAAAAAAGAGGCTGTCCCGTCCTCTACTTCCCTGTGCAATGATGGTTCATCTGCAGAAAAGCAGGCTCTTCTGTGCTGCAAGAATCAGATTACCCAGGTGAATGTGCCTGGCTTCCTAAGTAATCTGTCCTTTTTGCTCAGGGCAAAAGGCTGTCCCAGGCCTCAGCTTTATTTGAGATGCCTGTCACATTCATCTGAATAAACATGTCCACAGTGGCTCTTGACGTCTGCGTGAACCTCTTGTTTAAAATCCCTCACAGGTTTGGACGTGGCTGGGTTGGACTCTGCTGAGAGAGAAGCCCTCATAACAGCACTTCCATAGGCCGCCCTAGAGAGAGTCTCTCCTAAATGGCAGCCCCCAAGGATGCCAGCAGGATCTGGGGTAGCTTATCCTCATTCCAAGAGAAGCCCCAGATCCTCCCTTACTCCCAGAGAACAACCCCTTTCTCTAATACTGACCCAGGGGGGAAAACCCAGACATGAAGAGTCAAAGGCCTAGATCCCCTGTTCAAGATCCCATGTGCATGTGTGCATGCATACTCTCTCTCTCTCTCACACACACACACACACACACACATGCACACACACACACTGTGTAAGATCCTCTAATGACTGGGGACTCAGCAATGGGAAAGTCCTGGGTTCCTCCATCCTCAGCCACCTCTCTTGGGTGAATTCTGGCCAGTTGTCCCATTGGACCAAGATGGTGACTGCTCTGATGCTGAAATGCCTGCTGGTTGGAATGTGATCACCCTACTGCGATTCTGGTTGTAGATTCTGTCTGTCAGCCTCTTGGAGGAGCTTGGGGTCTGGGACTCTTGGGTCCTGAGTAGTTCAGTTCTTCTTTCACACCTAACTCTCCTCTTCTCTTTCCCTGTCTCTGTGTCTCCCCCTCTCTGTCTGCCTTGCTCTCCCACTACACCGGGGCTGCAGAACCGCATGCACGAGTCCCTCATGCTCTTCGACTCCATCTGTAACAACAAGTTTTTCATCGATACCTCCATCATTCTCTTCCTCAACAAGAAAGACCTCTTTGGTGAGAAGATCAAGAAGTCACCTCTGACCATCTGCTTTCCTGAATACCCAGGTGAGTGTCTCGGCTGCTCTTTGAAAGGCAGGAGCTGGAGGTGGGCCAGCCTCACTCAGGCTTGCTGGTGAGCAGGGGCCCACACAGGTATTAGACAAGGACACAGATAAACCACTGAGAGGTGACAGGTTTAACCTTTCTCAGGACATGGCCCCAGGTTTAGCGGGAAGTGGCCCCTCCAGAGCTGTTTGCATTGTGACTGGTGGCCCCAGACTGGCTTGACAGGGATCAGGACAGGACCGGAGGTGTCCCAGCCCCCTTTCATCCTAGCTACCCCCAAGAAGAGGTCTCAGGATCTAGCATCCTCACACTTGGCCTGGACAGCTATGGGGCCACACTGCACTGTCTCATGAGCTGGAGCCTGTGGCCCTGCGGCCTGTGAATGGGCTCCTGCAGGCTGACTCTGAGCACGTTGCATCCTTTTGTAGAAGTCCAGCCCTGCTGCGCCTCTCACACCAGCCCACAGAGCCGGCTCCCCCCACCTTCCTCCTCTGGTCTCCCTATCTGAGGCATTCCAACCACTGCAGCTTGCTCTGTCCTGCCTCCGCCCTTCTACTTTGGCAATCTGGGGGGGAGGGGGGTAACAGGAGGGATATAGGTAGCTGACAGATGGACTCTGGGCTGCTCTGAAGGCCAGAGGCAGTATGGAGCCCAGACTGTCCCTCTGGGAACTGGGCAGTTCCTAAGGAGTCTCTGGGGCCCAGTCATTTGAGAGGCCAGCCAGGGCTGGTATTCTGCTCTCCGCCACATGATGACACAGATTGAAATCCACACAGCCTTTGAGTTAGTCTGTGGGACAAGGCTCAGGACTCAGGGTCACATCTGTCCCCAAGCTCTGTCCCAGGGCTCCCAAACTCCATCCTGGAGGGATGCCAGGCTCTCCCTTTCTTCACAGAGATGTGAAGAAGAGCCAGTCTGCTTATTCTGAGCTCAGCCTGCATCCTCGCTGGTCTCCAGGCTGCTGTCCAAGCAGCCTCTAGAGCCAGCCCAGCTGCAACTCGGCAAGTCACCTGATTGCTTGGGCCTTGTTTTTCCCGGGGGGGGGGGGGAATATAGCAGATCATGACACTACCCTGAGCAGGGTGGCCAGAGGGGGATGGGAGAGACTGGTGCTCCCTCTCATGAGCATTCAGAGGATGGAAACCAAGGGAGGAGGAATGGGCCAAAGAGGGGCACTGTATGGGATGGGGAGAGTATGAAGACCCAGAAAGACAGAGCCAGGCCACAGCCCACCCTCTCCGCAGCTGCGTCTCACCTCTGCAGTGTCAGCAAAGGCCTATCCCCAGGCTTTGGGAAAACTGGACAAGATAGGGCCCAGCTGGGCACCCCAGCAAGCCCTGTGGGGCCAGCACCACCTTAAGACTCTCAGTCCCGTGTCCCAGCTGACTTGAGGAGTAGTTGGTCTCTGCTGTGGAGTGAGTGCTGGATGCCCCCAGTACCATCCCAACCAAAGCGTCTGAATTTGGGAAACGCTCGTGTTCTCCAGGCTCTTCCAAAGACCCAGTGTTGAGTTCAGGCATGATCAACAATGATACATGGCCATCCATGCTTGTGAGTGACCCCATGTGGCGCAGCCTGAAGATCCAAGCTGGAGGGGGTGGGAGCTGGAGGTGGCTGTCAGTGATGGGGTGGGCCAGTGTGGAGTGAGTCTGTGTGGGGACACCAGACTCAGCAGAGAGAACACAGAGGCGTGACCCCCTCCATCTGGATGGGATGAACTTCCTACTGCCCTCTGGCCTGGCTCTCTGCGGCCTGGAAGCTCCTTGACAAGGGCCC